TGAGATGTTTTTGTATTAAAAATACTTTCCAAATGCACTTTATTTAAAATATTTGGGTTTAGATATAATTTATTTCTCCTTCCCAATGCATTTTGCCAAATTGTTAACATTTGCCTGAAACCCTACAAAGCTCTCAACTTTTCTCACTCGTAGTAAGAAGTCGATGATAAAGCCCACTTGCATCCACCCATATGTAAGAATAAGCCTTTACAGAGTGATGGACACGCACCTACAGTAGTAAAGATAAAAAGTCCTTTAAGTCTAATCATTTTACCATTATACTAAGGCTGGCTAATCCAGGAGCTGAGCTAGATGACACTTAGCTGCCTTGAGCAGGAGTATAAGGGTTTAAAATACAATTTATCAAAGAGAGGAAAAGGAATATCACTGCATCAATGTACATCATAGGGTAAAGCAGATGGATTTGATCTATGAAGCAAAAGAGAGGAAAAGCACGCCAGCAAGGAGAGAAGTAACAGTGTATTATTATCCATAAGGCTCCTGTGACACTCCTCTGAGTGAAGTCAGCAGACCTGGCGGCAGTTCCACTTAGAGACAAAGCCATGGGTCGCTTAAACGGGAGCCTGTATTTTACCAAGCATGACACCGAAAAGAGGAAAGGTAATATGGATTGTATTGCAGCTTGTCATGCTCCAGACAAGATAATAGAAGATAATAGCAAGCCAGAAAAGTAATAGGACCCGAGGGTAACTTCAGACATTTATCTTAACTTGTTCTCATCAAGAAAGAAACACAGGAAAAAGAGCTTCCAACCCAAGGAGTGAGTTCAAGGTCACAAAGAAAAATGGCTAACATTCCAGTAATAAATATGTTATAACTGATAGTACATTGATTACAAAGACGAGGATATGTAGTACAAAACCAGGCTCAGAATGACTTAAACATATTTTTGTTTTCCAGTGAAGGTTTTTTTTTGTGAAATAAGAAATATAGAGCACTTAAAATAACATAAAATATCACATGTGCCTCAAATTGTGCTATTAGTCTGCCAGAAGTTTCCAGGAGAACCTTTTTATCTAATACCGTGGAGGGTATGAGATAGAAATCAATAGTGGAAGTTCAGACTGCAGCTTGCGGTGGGTTACCACAGTATGAAAAAGCAACGTGTCTCAACTCCAGTCCTATGTGTGTCCCAAACATATTAGCATTTGGAACAGACACACGCTAGTAATAGTAGATTTCCTCCTCCGGTTATTGGCACAGTGGCATCCCCTACTTGTTCTGCTACTTTTAATTTGCCCAGCATATTATTTAACTGACAAAAAGAACATTTACCTCTTCATAAAGTGCAGAATACTGGTGTGTCCACCAAAAAGACCTCCTGTTACGGAGTGAGAATCCCCATCTCTGAGACATAAGCACCCAGATATGGAAAAACCAACAAAAATTTGAACATGAAATTCAGGAGCCTATAGGAGCAGAATGAACAAGATGAAAAATTAATGTTACACAAAGTTTGTAGACACCTGACGATTACACCAATATGGGCTTTTTTTGATTTCTGGTTCCAAAAACTAAAGGCATTAATATGAAGCTGACCTTCCCCTCTGTGGTTAAAACAACCTTGAGTCTTCTGGGAAGGCGTTCTATAAGATTATTGGAATGTATCTGCAGAAATTTGAGGCTATTCAGCCAAAAAATCATGGCTAAAATGTTCAATACTGATGTAAAATAAAAAGAACTGGCTTGCAATCAGCATTCCAATTCATCTCAAACCTTTTTTATGTGAATTTAATAATTTGGAGGGATGTCCACTACTTTTGCCCATACAGTTTATTTTGCTGGTCTCTGCCTTAGAAAATGTAATTTGGCCAAAGAATTGTGTACACTTGAAGTTCAGCTGTAAAACTCTGTGAATAGATCTAGATAAATAGACTGTCCCTTGCAATCTTGCTGCAGAGAATGACCAATGCTGTTTTAAGTATGAGTTTTCCTGAGTACATAGCTCTAGCTTTCACTCCAAGGGTGTATGTCAGACAGCTGCAGAGAGGCTGCTGCATCCACATAGAGATCATTCTCTGTTCTTTGATTTGCTTGACTTAAATGGTAAGACTGTGATCACTTAGAATTAATTTACAATGTATTAAAGGAAAGTTCATCTAGGCTTTCAAATATATTTTAAATGCGTATTACAGTATAAAATGTACAAAGAACATTAGCTGCCTATAGATAAAACATTTTACTACCAGCATAGGAAAAGAATGAGCACTCTACTTCTGCCCTACAGCTAACGGTATGCACACTCACAATTGCTAGAGGATAGTGCTGATATTAGGATTTGTGGAATTGATGTGTCTTTATGGAGTCAGGTATGAACATTGTTTGGATGTTGTACCTACTAAAACTCTTCGGGTTTGTAAGAGGTTGATGAAAATGTGTCTTGTTCACCCTTAAAGTGGAAGTAAAGGCAATTATATTTTTTTAAAGTCCCTTTTAGCCGTAATACGCTAATATGCACAGTATATGGCCAAAGCAATCCCATCCAGTGTTACACTGCTACCTCGCTGGTGCTTCCATTCTCTCCCTGGGTTTTGACTGTTTGGCCACTGGATTGGCTGGGTACCAATTAAGATTTTCTTGCAAATTAATCTTAAAGCTGAACACCAGCTGAAGCAAATCGAACACACAGATTAAAAATATATAAGGGACCTGTTTCATCTGCTAAAGGATGTGTATTTCGGTCCATCTAGTCATGAGATTTTCACAGATCTGCCACACAGCATATCCAGGTAGACAACACCACTAATAGCTCAGGTAAGGGATACATTGGTGTCCTCTCTCTCCACTCCAGTCTGCTTACTGAACAGTAAAAGTGTAGCAGTAGACTGATGATGTAATCTGTCTGCTCATTCCGCTTGCTTTTCCTATCAGCATGTTCCTTGTTAACACATTTGCATGCAGCAATTGTTACCCCTCTGTTTCCTGGCCTGGGCTCTGCTCTACAGGAAAAATCAAGTCAGATGCATGTACTGCAGGTACACTAGAATACATTTAACGATTTTATAATAAATAGAGTTTATATCTGTCTGGTATTCAGCTTTAATTAAGTAAATACAGTATATTGCTTTTTTTGAGGAAATAAATTGTAGAAAGATGCCACCATTCCGTATATTGCAAATGGTTTTACTTGATTTTATTTTTTATTGTATACAACATCCTATGTTATGAGACCTACATTTGTCCATATAGCAAAAAGGAAATAACCCTGTGTGGTCTAAAAATATTGGATTTTCATACCAATAAATAAAATGTCCACTTGAAAGCAAGTCTAGGAGCTCTGGAAGCTCTTTCTGAGGTCTGCGTATATGGTGCCATCAGTCTACAGACACAGCAGCCATATGGAAGTGTTCTTGATTGCTCTTTGGTTGTGTGGCTTGGCTAAGCTATTTGTAAGAAGAGAGCAGCTTGATATCTGTTCACGTATAGAATTACTGTAATGATAGATGCTGTCATAGCATGTCAATGCATGAGATCAGAGGTGGCAGCTCCCATTTTCCCTGTGTGATCCAGATGTTCAGATCCAACAGATTTGCCCATATGTGAGTTAACCAAATCAGATAATGATTGAAACTAAAGTCTGCTTTCAGTGATTACATACTTATTGTAAAAAAAAGTACCTGAATAAATTTGTACTTGCTATACCATATTTGTAAGGTGTCTACATGCCCCATGCAAATTTAAAGGAAAAGAAAAAAGGGTTATGATCCTTATTTTAGGATAGTGGGTGAAGCCATGCAAATAATTCCTTTATACCTCTTGTCTAACTCTACACCCAGAACTGCTGATTTATAGTACAGATACAGTCTAATATTATAGAACCATGTATTCCATACTGCATACATACAGGTGAAACTCGAATAATTAGAATATCGTGCAAAAGTAATTGCAGTAAGTGCTGCAAAAGGGGCCCAAACCAAGTACTGAGTACATATGCATGCTTGTACTTTTCAGAGGTCCGATATTGTTCTATGTACAATCCTTGTTTTATTGATTGCATGTAATAATCTACTTTTTTGAGGTTGTGGATTTGGGGTTCTTGGGGTTTTCATGAGCTGTAAGCCATAATCATCACAATTATGACAAATCACGGCTTGAATTATCTTGCTTTGCATGTAATGAGTCTATCTCCTATATTAGTTTCACCTTTTAAGTTGCATTAGTGAAATAAATGAACTTTGCACGATATTCTAATTATTTGAGTTTCACCTGTACAGTTGTTTTGTGCATGCTGACCATCATTGGTACAGTATAATCAATTGCTTCAATGAAGTAGGATTTATAAAGCAAAAAGAAAGTATGTCCAGGTGAATATGGTGAACCCTACTCTATAAAAGCCATTGTTTCCATGCACTGCACTGATGAGGGCTAACAATCCTTAAACTGCTGTATGCAGTATGCAATCTGTGCTATAAACCAGTTCTGGATGTACAGTTGGCCAATTTACAATTAGGAATAATTTATATGGCTATGTCCACTGTCCTAAAAAAATAGTTAACTTTTTTTGTTTTGTTTTTGAGATTTGTAAAGGAAGTGAGACAAATACTGTAGATACCTTCTATTTTAGGTTATACTCTAATGTGTTACACACTGGTTTAATGGAAAGGTTATGGTTCCTTTTGAAATTTCTTAATATATACATTGGTTAATACCCCTTTAGTAGTCATCAGTAAAGAAGGTATGATTAGCATACCTAGCTGTAACAAATTCTTCAGCAGGTCAGACTTGCCCCGCAGACTTGTAGTGTAGCAGTGTATCAATTAAACATGCATTTATAAACTATAATTTAAAAAAACAAGGTTTTGAAAAAGTTCTCATCAGTAGAATCATTTATATCAAGGTAATCACATTTACATGTGTACTTTTCTAAAAGAAAAAAACCTGAAAACATCCTAAATATTTCCTTTACTACGCGGGCTAAGTGGTCAGATCTACATGTGTATTGATTGTAATGTTTGTTCTGTTGTTTTTTTCTCTTTTAGCCTGCTAGAAAGTAAGATAACAGAGATGGAGGGGAGGCACAAAGTAGAACTGGACACATTGAAAACGGAGAAGGAGACATTGCAAGGCCTTGTCTCCCGCCAAACATACATCATACAAGAACTAGAAAAGCAGCTCACCAAGGCCACCAATAATAACAGCATCTTACAGAAACAACAACTGGAGCTCATGGATACAGTTCACAACCTGGTAAAACTCTGCTCCAAGGAAGGAGGTAATTCATAATTAAACAAATTATATTATCTATTTTCTTAAAGGGAGGGAGCAAAGACATGAGAATAATTATGCAACAACACACTAATGTACTGTAATCCAGTTTGAGATGCTACAACTACCCAATGCTATGCATCATATGTACAGTGTGTCTGGGTTTCTTTTTCACTGACAATCAGAGTGAATTTCTATATAAATATGTACTAATAGAGAGAAACGGTAGCTGGGTAGGGGTGGGATCTAGTGCTGACTTCAAGAATGAAGTCTGTATTTTCTTAAGTGTCCTTAAAGTAGTACTAAAGGCAGGGCATGTTTTACCTCAATGTATTCTCCGCATTAAAGTAAAAAATGCCCAGTACCTGTCTGTGTTCTCACTATAAAAAGAAAAAAAAGGAAGGTTTAATATCACTTTACAGTGTTGGAACATCATCCCAACCCAGCAAATTGCTCACCCCTTGTGTTTTGTATCCCCTTTACCCTATTTGCAGGGTTATAGCTTTAGAAAACATAATCACAAATCCAGCTAATCCAGCATTGTCCAGCTGCGATACACTCCTCTGACAGTGACATATTTCAATGCTCCTCTGCCACACCCTGGGTCTCATGCCCCATTTTTATTTCCTCTGTCATCGAAAACTGGTCGTTTCTTCCTGGTTCTTGATGATGTGACACCATCCCTTCCTTTCAGCTGCTGTGTGTTCCTGCTTTTGCAGCCTTCTTGGATATGATATAGATATCCCATGAGGCTGCAGGAGCAGGGAAAAGTAATTCTCTACTAGGCCAGAATGGAGGAATGGGCTGGAGTATAAAAAATGCAAACCAACACAAATAATAATTTTTTTGCACAGGAAGGGTGGGTTGCATGGAGAAAGCCTATTTTTGGAATAAAGGTCTGCTTTAAAACACCGGTTTAAGACCCAAACTGATATATGTACAAAGCAAATAATCTTCTTTTAACTCCTGGGGAAAGTTTACTTTTTAAATTATGATTAACATAATTTAACAACAAATGAGTTGTTAAATTGAGTAAATTATGGTGACATGCGGAAGTTCAATAAGAGAAATATTAGTTTACAAGGTGTTGAAATCCATATAAGCCATGAGAATTTTTCTTTTTCTGATCTGACTTAAACAAAATGAGTCCTAGTTATCTGTGGCACGTTTCCTGCACTTTGCATGTTACTATTGCTGTTCATTCTATCTTATTAAAGAAGCCTGAAATAGGAACAATATTTCTTTCTTCTCAAAAGAAAATGTAACCATTGTATCAAACCTTTGAAGAAAAAATTTAATGTACGGGTGTCGTGGGGTCAGGACCAGGAACTGTTCCCCACTCTAATCAAAAGTAAAATAAACATTTAAAATAACATATACATCTTTGTAAATTGACCCTATAAAGATTAATAGATTAAGATAGATATGGAGTATAGATAGACTGCAGTAGGATAGGAGTGTTAAGAAAATGTGTACAGGAAAACCAGAACACAGAAGAGGTATTGGTAGGCCAAGGAAGATATTGTTGACATTGAGGATGATTGAAATGGACTCAGAGGCTGCTGGAGAATGAAGACAAGAGATAACAATGGGCACACTTTGTCCAAGAGCAAGGCCTTTCATGTACTGTCGAGCTTCGAAAAAACTAATTAAGGAAAAGAAAGTTATTAGCTTTAGAATTTAGAAAGCTGAACTCCAAGCAAACAGCCAAATAATCAGATGATAGGCATGGAGCTGTTTTATTTGCCAAATGATTTGTATTTTTGTCTTGCGAAGGTTCTCATTCATCCAGGTCATGGTATATCTGCAAAAAATAAGTCAAGGCAACTGGACTTGCTGTATTTTCCTTGAAGACGTTTCACTGGTCATCCAACCAGCTTTCTCAATTCAGAATGATTTGTATTTTTGTCCATCCAATACTTAGATTTACACAGCTCTGCCACACCACACTGTCTAGCTAAGCAGAAGACCTGATTTTCTCTGCTAAAGTTCAGTAACCCTTTTATAGATCTCATCCCCTCCCTCATTTTGTGACTGGACAGTAAAAGGAGAAGCAGAACATTGAGGAGCTCATCTCTCTTTAGGAGAAGTGGCAGAAAGATGCTGGATATGAATCCCCAATTGATGCAAAAACAAAGTCCTTAGTATAGCCATATGGTCCATGTTCAGCAGCTCTTCACAAAGCAGGAGTACCCCCAGAGGCTGGAGTCACCGGCGTTGAGAAGTCTATGTGTATTTTAACCAAAAGGAGCACCAAAGAGACATTCTTAGAGTCTAAAATTCCTTGAATGACAACAGGAAAATAAAGGCAGCCATCATATTTTGTGGGCCAAACAACCCCCCTTCATCAGGGCTTTAGCACTTACCAGAATGTCAAGTAGAACTCAGAGCATAGCTCCTAGCTGATCTATCTAAACCTGGAGGCTAATCAATAGATGGATGTCTATGTCTCTGGCAGATCAGCATGTGCTCACAAGGCATTATTTTCTGGTGTAATTAATGGAGCTATTTCAATAAATACTTTGAGACTATGAGGATAGCAGTTTGGTGCTCCTATAGGAATACACATAGCTGATCTTTCTGTCACTCCGGCTTCTTCTCCTACTAGCATGCTTCTTTCAATACAACTGATAGGCTCTTAGTGCTGCTTCTTATGACCCAAGTCTGAGGTCTGGTGAATGGGAACTGCAAGAGGATGATACCGTGGTAACTTTAGGTACTTACACTGCTTGACTTTAACAAAATTATGTATTAATGAATTTAGAACTTCATCGTTGTGTCTTTTATTTCTGCCTGGAGTTCAACTTTAAAGATTTTAAGAGTCAATGATTATCTGGAAAAATAGATATCTCAACTAGTTTCCAGTTCTAGATTTTAGTGGTTGCTTTCCCATTCAAGCTATACATATTTACAGGTAAACTCATATTTTATCATTTACAACATGCTCCCTATGAGTTCTTCTTGTGAAGGAGCTGTACTCATTTTAAGTCTGAGCTACATTATTTATGTTCACTAACCTAGGGTCAATTGCATAAATTCATATACCCCCTTATCTTCTGAAATATGGAAATATAAATAAGCTAAGCTGTATAGAACAGTAAAAATAATATCCCTGGGTCACCACCTCAAAAACAATAACTCAGCAAATGCAAGTAGCCAGTTCTTCTGCATCTTTTGTTCCAGGAACACATCCAACTCACTTAGGAAAGTAATACCATGTGTTTTGCATTGCGTCCGATAAAAGCAAATTGCTCATTTGAGGCTGTCACCATCATAGATTCTTTCAATCAAACATAAAATGAAACACCCCACAAACATTTACAGGGCATTACGACGGGTGCAGTAACAGACTGATCTGTAACAATGCAAGCAATTGTCTTTGGGAACAATTTGTATGAATAGGCATCATAAGCAATCCTACGGAGCCGAAAGACTGAAAGCTGATGTCACCCATCAAATATGCTTGTCCCGTTTTTATGTAAATATATGCGTATTCATGGAGAGCTGGTCTACAGCAAATTATAAGCCTATTGTACTGCATAAGTAGTGAATTGTGCTATACAGGTGTATAGTGTGCACACTCTCGCTTTAAAAGAGAGTATTGTGTGTATATATTAGATCATGCATGGGGTTGATGAAACAATAGTTTTACTGAATAATATATAAAAACATATATTACTGAATAATATATAAATACATATAACATATTAACAGAAATGCATAGTTAATTTATTTGTATTTGTTTAAAATGTTAAGTAGAATGCAAGATGTTTTTGTGCATATTTAGCCAGAAGTTATTGTAAGCAAAGTTGGAATTAAAGCTTTACTTAACGTGAATCTACATTGCCCATACAAGGCAAATTATTTATAGGAGTTGTATTTATAGGAGGCATCAAAAGCAAGCTGTACCCACCTTTCTTATGCACCAATGCCACCTCAATCTATCTACACTGCCTCTGGAAATACACAATAATTCTGAGTATGGGGAAGGTATTACACTCCACTTACCCCCTATAATGCTGGGTGTCTGAACAGCCACTAGCCATAACTAATTGCTATCACATAGCAACAGGGAGGAGCTTGCTAAGCCCTGGGCCAGTTTTAGCTTTAAAAAATCACAGTTTGAATTTTGAGGCACATGGGAAGTGGATCTGGGGGCAGCAGAGCACCAGAAGATTATTACATCCTATCTATGGTGTCTCCTAGATTCACTTTATGAAACTCTAAACAGAGATTTAAAAGATTTAGGAAGACACATAAGTTCTTACCAGCCAGCAAGTACTTAGTATAACCATCTATTTTGAGAGTTGCCAAACTGAGTTTCCATCTAAGATTGCTTTCCCATAGGGCTTTCTGTTCTGCTCCATCACACCCAGATAATCTAATTTTACCTGCCCAAAATTGATGGAGAAAAATACCAAATATTATCAGTTTCTAAGAGCCTTCATAGCAATCAGCTGACACTATAGTTATCTTGGCAGGATAACAAGACAGGTACTATATTTATGATACAGTTATTTTTCTATTTGCAATAATGTTTGAAGAAAAGTTGGGTAGGTTTTACTCATATCATTAGTTAGACCTGGCAGAACATTCCATTTTGTATTCTTTCTTCAGACCACAGTATTCCTCTGAAGCACACACAATATCTAAAACAATGGTGCTGTGCCGAACCTCTTTTGTCTAAGTGACCATAAATTTCCTTTGTCTTGTAGAAAACTATTAAAAATTCACACAGCCTTGGGTCAGGCCAACCAGAAAGAAACATTTAAAATTCATTGAGTAAAAGTCTTTTTTCTTAGGTACTCTTCCATCAATATCATTCAGCAAGAAGGCAGTGACTAATTGAACAGACTCTGTCTAATGACCCTCAGTGTGAAAATATCTTCAGTGTAAAATATCTTATCTAAACCATCTTAAAGTGAAACTAAACTCAGGAGTTAAATCATAAAAATGTATTCAAGTACCCTAACTATTAACATTGCTGTGCCTTATTTGTGTATCACT